ACATTTGTATTTCTAAGGGTCCGTTTGATTGGAATGGTGGAAAATGGGTGAAAAGAAAATAAATTTCAGAGAAAATAATTGTCTAGAAATTGTTCTACAGGAAATTGTTAATTAAGTGTGTTTGATTGTTATAATTTTCCACTTGGAAAATTTTGTGTTCGTTTGGCTTTATTTTGCATGGAAATTGTCCATTAAAGTGATAATTTTTTCCACAATTGGTTATAAAATTTGTTTTCATTGCTAAAAAGTAAAAAAAAGTTGAAAAAAAATGTTCCTAAAAAATCAATTTTTTATCAAAGATTAGTATTCGTTCGGCTTTATTTTATATGAAAATTGTCTATTAAAGTGATTTTTTTTATAATTGGTTATGAAATTTGTTTCCATTGCAAAAAAGAAAGACGTCAGACCTGAAAAAGGCATTTCCCACCAAAGAAGAAGGGCGGGGGGAAGTTTTCTTGGTCAAATTTGTCTAATCAAACACTACATTTTGGAAAAGTTGGAAATTGATTTCCTTTTTATTAGAAATGGTCCATCAAATAGGGCCTAATATATTAATAGATTAGAATCTGATTCTTAGTAGTAAAGGGTTTGATTGTGCACATCTCTTACTAGTTATAGCTTCTAGAATTTCTCGTACTTTTTGGATGAGAATTTTATTTTTCTACATTTGTGTCTCTAATATATTAATACATTAGGCATTGACATAAATTTCGAATCACTCGACTTCTTATTTCTAAATTACCTATATTGTATCTTTACTTTCCGTTCAACATAACATATAAACGATTTAACATTTAACTATACATGCTACTAATTAACATGGCATCACAGTTATTAATCAATTATGCTTTGCCGTAGATTGTACAAAGTTGCAAACATGGCATGTGGCTCGAATTAAGATCATAGAATATCCTCCAATTGGTAAAGTTGTTTGTGGCATGTTCGGATTATTCTTTTGCTTGATCTATACTTCATTATTTATCATATAACTTTAACAATTCATTCTGGTGGTTGGTTTCATCAAATTATATTTAAACAATACATAATTATTGTATTTCCAACATTGGTATCAGCGATTCAAGCATATTAATATTTCTTCTAACAAGAGATATTTTGATTGTTTCACAACAAGTGGTATCAGAGCAATTTTGGTATCTTCCATGGCATCACACAATTAATCAATTATGCTTCGCCGTAGATTGTACAAAGTTGCAAACATGGCATGTGGCTCAAATTAAGATCATAGAATATCCCACCATATTTAGGACTAGAAATGCCAAGAATATGTACTTGGAATGCATGTAGTAGAAGTAGAAAAAGAATGCAGGCCCCATAAGATTTTGTCTCAATTGATAGCGTATACGCGATGCAGTTCAATATTTACACTTATCAATTTTAGTTGTCATCAATCCCGAGCCAACTTAGGCTGTTAAATATTCATTACATATTAACAATTAGTTCGTCTTGACGAAGAGGTCTCAATCCAGTACACAAGATATTTTGAAGGTTCACAATTACAAGCGCTACGATATTGTGAACTCACGCACGTCACTTCCCCAAAGGAGCTAGAAAGGTTTAGACAAATGACTAGAAGATGTTCTTGAAACGTAAGTGAAGCATTGAAGAATAAGAAGAAGAATGAAGGACCCATTAGGGTTTTGTCTCAGCTGGACTTTTTCATTGAATTTCTTGTGGTTGATAATGGAAAAGACAAAATATGGCAAGTTTAGCTTTTATCAGTCAATTCCCAAGGCCTTTTCATGACCAAATGATAGGCTGGATTTTTGGGATTCCTTGGGAACCTTACAATTGGATTGGATTGGATTGGATTAAAACAATGTTATTGACCATATCAATTATAGGTAATTCCAACTTAGCATTTTTTTTCTTTTTTTGGATTTTAATATTCTTTTACTCATTAATTATTATACGTCTTTACCATTTACGTTGAAAGTGTCACCTATTGTTATACCTTGAAGGCGAACAAAATCTTTTTATGTGATGTAGAAATTGATATAGAAATAGAACTAGAAATAATCTTCGAGATGCAGGGAACTAAATAGGAACAAGGAGATTTCCCGATAACCTCTCTCCTTCTCTTTGTTAAGACTCTATCATTACACTTTCCATTAATGAATACCTACTTTGCCATTTTACATTCTATTTTTTCACCTACTTTATAAATACGAATTTAGGTAGTGAGATTTCTCAATAACTTATTTATTTGTAATTTGAGCCCCATTTTTTTTTTTCTTTTTCAAAAAATGCATTCTGTAATAGTGTTATAATGGAGAATGTGTGGTTAAAAAATAAGAAAAAAATTTGGAGTTGTGTGTAAAATTATAATGCTTTTTGAAATAGTGATTTGGTGGAGAGTGGATGGTCGAAAATAAAGAAAAGTTTTGAGTTTACATGTAATATTATTCTATAGAAGAGCCATCAAACAAGTCTATCGACCGGTCCAGTTAGCTGCAATGGGCAATTCTTCACGTAACACTCAAAACTCGTCAATAATCAATAAAAATTGCAGACAATGTCCTTAAAATTTCAAGGCGAATTGCATAGTTAAATTTTCGTATACAACACCTTTGCTATAATAAAAAGGCGTCTATCAACTACTTCAATATAAGAGGCTAAATTGAGCTCTAACTAGGATGATTTCGTCAATATTTTTTATCCATTATAATCAACTATAAATTATTTAAATTTGATCTCGAATCAATGAATTGTCAATCAAATTAATGACCTAATGATCCGATATTTGACCAAATGAATGACCAGCCAAAGTAAGGTACTTCGGGCCCATTTGGTATGCCTTTTACTTTTTGTAGAAGAGTTTTTAGAAGAATTCATTTTAATTTTTGTTTGAAAACTAATTTTCAAAAATATTTTCTATTTCAGATGTGTTTTTTTTTTTAAAAAAATCACATTGCAACGGTTTCCTCTAAAAACTTTTTTAATTAGAAGAAATACTTCTATAAAATTAATCAAACGAGTTCAAAAGCTGCTTTTGAGTCTTAAAAGTTTTTTGTACTTTTCAAAAATCATATCAAACGAGCCCTTCATATCTGTGCTCAAGCCTTAAGGCTAGCAAGCTCGACCCTTTTGGTTTTTCCCATTTTTTTTTCGAATACATTTTTTACTATCTTATTTTCAACTACATATTCTTCAATAAAATAATATTACATACATACTTAAAAATTTTCCTTATTTTTTAATCATCAATGTTCCATCAATCTACTATTACAAAATATATTACTCAAACATGCTCTAAGAGCTTATTTGGAAGTGAGATTTTTTGGCATTTTTTTCTTAAAAAGTAGTTTCAACCATTTTCTTCACTGTTACTCATACATTTTCTAAAAAAATTATTTTCCACTCAAAAAAAATTTCTCCCAAACAGGTATGGTTGGGGGACAAAATAGTCAGCAGCGTGGTCTCCTGCAATCTGGTGTAGAAGGAGTAAAGGACGTTTCAGTAAATTCAGACTTATGGCTCATGAAAAAAAACTTTGGGGTTGTTTGAGTCCCATTTTTTTTTGACAAAAAAAACATTTTGCAATGGTGTTATAATGGAGAATGTGTGGTTAAAAAATAAAGAAAAGTTTTGAGTTTACATGTAATATTATTCTATAGAAAGGCCATCGAACAAGTCTATCGATCGGTCCAGTTAGCTGCAATGGGCAATTCTTCACGTACCACTCAAAACTCATCAATAATCAATAAAAATTGCAGACAAAGTCCTTAAAATTTCAAGGCGAATTGCACAGTTAAATTTTCGTATACAAAACCTTTGCTATAATAAAAAGGCGTCTATCAACTACTCCAATATAAGAGGCTACATTGAGCTCTAACTAGGATGATTTCGTCAACATTTTTTATCCAAATTAATTCATTATAATCAACTATAAATTATTTAAATTTGATCTCGAATCAATGAATTGTCAATCAAATTAATGACCTAATGATCCGATATTTGACCAAATGAATGACCAACCAAAGTAAGGTACTTCGGGCCCATTTGGTATGCCTTTTACTTTTTGTAGAAGAGTTTTTAGAAGAATTCATTTTAATTTTTGTTTGAAAACTAATTTTCAAAAATATTTTCTATTTCAGATGTTTTTTTTTTTTTTAAAAAAAGATCACATTGCAACGGTTTCCTCTAAAAACTTTTTTAATTAGAAGAAATACTTCTATAAAATTAATCAAACAGGTTCAAAAGCTGCTTTTGAGTCTTAAAAGTTTTTTGTACTTTTCAAAAATCATATCAAACGAGCCCTTCATATCTGTGCTCAAGCCTTAAGGCTAGCATGCTCGACCCTTTTGATTTTTCCCATTTTTTTTTCAAATACATTTTTTACTATCTTATTTTCAACTACACATTCTTTAATAAAATAATATTACATACATACTTAAAAATTTTCCTTATTTTTTAATCATCAATGCTCCATCAATCTACTATTACAAAATATATTACTCAAACATGCTCTAAGAGCTTATTTGGAAGTGAGATTTTTTGGCATTTTTTCTTAAAAAAGTAGTTTCAACCATTTTCTTCACTGTTACTCATACATTTTCTAAAAAAATTATTTTTCACTCAAAAAAAAATTTCTCCCAAACAGGTATGGTTGGGGGACAAAATAGTCAGCAGCGTGGTCTCCTGCAATCTGGTGTAGAAGGAGTAAAGGACGTTTCAGTAAATTCAGACTTATGGCTCATGAAAAAGGCTCATGAAATGATCCCAACTAGATTCATCCTCTGCCTTCCAAAGCCAAAGAGGCCTGCCGCGCAAATTTTGATAAAACAAATTTTATAGCCAAATTTCTCTTTCAGTGAATCACATGTACATACAGTTGTTTTTCTCTAGAAAAGTCAGCCACACTCTTCTCAATCGCTCGCTCTCGTTCCTACAAAATTGACATAAGAAAGCCAAAAAAAATTAAACAATAGTTGTCTTCGTTAATTCCGCCCTCACATTTCGGCTTTCAGGATGACCCCACTATGAAAAAGATCCGAAATTCCTCTACCACCACCACCACGGGCGGCGGCGGAGCCACGACGGCGATGAGGGTGATAGTGCCCTTACAAGGTGTGGTGCAAGGCCGTGGAGGCCTTTTCTTGGGTTCAGTTATACCCTGTGCTCTGTTTTACTTTCTTCAACTCTACCTCAAGGGCAGGGGTGGGCGCAAGTCCGGCGAACCTCCAGCACCGCCGGAGAGTTCTCCGTCGGAGACCCATTTGCGGGAAGTGTCGACTCTGCAGAGGGTTCATTCAAGGTTACTGCTTTCTCCCCGAGGGACGAGTGGACCGGCCCAGGTGTCGTCTAGAGCTAATGCAATTGCTAAGCAGGCCGATGGGACTTACTGTGTGGGCCTGAAGCGGGCTGCAGACGACCCATACGATGAAATGAATAATCCAGATGGTGTGATTCAACTTGGGTTGGCTGAAAACAGAGTGGGTATTGTTAAAGAAAATTGATACTCGTGTATTTCTTTATGTTTAATGCATTCATGAAGTGAATCTGTGTGATTAGATGTTTCTTTTGATGTTTAGCATTAGCTGAATGTAAAGTTTGTGTATACATTGTTGTGCATAAATAGAACCATTTAAATTATTTGTTTATGTCTGTTTTGTATGGAGGAATGTAGAATTTGAATCTAGAACTCTTTGATCATAATGATGATTTATAGTATAATCATAGCTAAATTTCTTAGTGCTGATCAGTTTCAAAAAAATGGAGGGGAAGGAAGGAACGAATGAAAGTGAACGAAGAATGGTAACTTTCATATTTGGATAAGTGATGTCCTTGTCCTTGTGACTATCTTTACATTTAAGTGGTAACAATTCTTGTGTTTATTTATGTGCTTGAATGATTTTTGAAGCTGAAAATTAATTGATATATATCTGTGATGTGCACATGTTATAACTTAAATGGACTTGTTCTTACTTCTTGCATTTATTAAATATTCAACCTTTGAATATGATTCAAAAGAATTTCTGTTAAATTGTTTATTTTAATTATTGAAATTACATAGAAGAGAATTTATGTGGTTAATTGTTCTTATAACAAGTTTGAGAGTTTGTTAATGAATGGTGTTTGAGACTTTTTTTTCACATGAATGTAGTTGTCATTGGACATGGTTCAAGAGTGGCTAGCAGACAATACAAGGGAATCAATAATATCCCAGGATTTGAGCATAAGTGGGATTGCAGCTTATCAGTCGTTTGATGGGTTGATGGAGTTGAAAGTGGTTTGTCTTTCTACTTGCGTTAGCAGTTCATCTATCTCAGTTGTATCCATAATGTATTTAAGCTTTTGCATCTCTTGAATTGGTTAACTGTGTGAAGAATGTGTTCTTTGCAGGAATTGTATTATATTCTAGGTCTAATGTAAGCTATACTAATTAATGTTGCGTCTCATTTTAAGCATAGAAACAAATTATGTTAATTCAAATCCCTGCAATGGATTTGGCTGATTGTATTAATTTAACAGTAGTCGTTTGCTTCATCGAGACTACACATCTATCCCCTTCAGGTTTGAAATATTAATCTTGATTCATGTGAATATGAGTAACTCTGTAATCTGATACCAATATTTGGAAAGAAGCTACTTGAATGGGTATTCTTGTGCATTTTGCTTATTAGAAAATTTAAGTTGTGCCTTTTCAAAGCATTTTAAGACTAATTGCTCGACATGAATGTATAGATGAAGTGGTTGGAATGTATAGATGAAGTGTATAGATGAAGTGTATACAGGCAGTTTTGGTTGGGATGTATAGATGAAGTGTATACTTAAGGCGATCACACCTAGCAATACCATCTCATTATTTCTTTGTTATTGTATGTTTGTATGAATGTCCCAGGGGTGGGGGGTTGGGGTTGTAAATTCTTGCATCATCTTGTTGCTCTTCAATGCTCATGTTATATGTATGGTTGTTCTACCATTTCCTACTTCTGGGAAAACGTAATGCTTGTTCTACCATTTCCTACTTCTTGGAAAAACTAATGCATGTATCAGCATCTGTTTGTCTCTCATTCTTTCAAAACTCTTTTTTTCTACACTCATTTTCAACTATACATTCACACAATAAAATATTCTACACATCAATTCAAAACTTTTCTTTACTTTTTAACCGCACATTTTCAAAAAAATCACTATTTAAAACAATGTTTTTTCCGAAAAAATGGCCACCAAACAGTTAAACAGGCAAGGTCTGATTTATTTTCTTGTGAGCATGTGTTTTGTTATGATTTTGTAATATAAGGTTAATTTTGTGAATTTGAGCCGCTTAACTTTCAAGTCCTTTTAACAGTTCAGGAATTTTAGTATTTGGAGTCTTCCAAGTCACTTTGAATTGCTATGCCATTTTTGTCCAATCAACAGGTTGTGGCAGAGTTCATGTCTCAAGTCATAGAGAAACCACAGTTTTTCAACCCGGCACAGATAGTGCTAACTGCTGGGGCTACTCCTGCAATTGAGATACTCAGTTTCTGCTTGGCTGATCCAGGGAATGCATTTCTTGTACCGTCACCATACAATCCTGAGTAAGTTCCATTGCTTTTCTTACTGGATGACCGGTTTACATCATTTTTTTATTTCATATCAATACTAAAGAGAAATTCAAAGTGCAGTCTCGATAGGGATGTCAAATGGCGAGCTGGGGTGGAGATTGTACCCGTTCCTTGCCGCAGTGCAGACAACTTCAGTTTAAGTACAACTGCTCTTGATCGAGCATTTAACCAGGCCAAGAAACGTGGTCTTAAAGTTCGTGGGATGATAATTTCAAACCCTTCAAATCCTGTGGGAGTTCTGTATAACCGTGAAATGCTTTACAGCCTCTTAGACTTTGCTACTGAGAAGAACATTCATATTATCTCTAATGAAGTATTTGCCGGATCAACTCATGGAAGTGAAGAGTTTGTAAGCATGGCGGAAATCATTGACACAGAAGATTATGACAGAGGTCGAGTTCATATTATTTATGGTCTGTCGAAGGACATATCTCTTCCCGGGTACGGGATTGGTGTTATCTATACATTCAACGAGAATGTTCTGTCTGCTGCTAAGAAACTTGCAAGATTCTCGCCTGTTTCGGCCCCAACACAGCGTTTGCTTGTCTCTATGCTTTCACATACAAAATTCATTCAACGGTTTATCAAGATCAATAGGGAGAGGGTTCGAAGGATGTATATTTTGTTTGCGGGCGGCTTAAAGCTGTTGGGTATTGAATGCATAAAGAGTAATGGAGGATTCTATTGCTGGGCCGACATGAGTAGTTTAATCCGCTCATACAGTGAAAAAGGAGAGCTTGAGTTGTGGGAAAATTTGTTGAATGTGGCCAAGGTCAATGCCACTCCGGGATCATCCTGTCATTGTGTTGAACCTGGGTGGTTCAGGTTATGCTTTAGCACATTGAGGGAAAAGGACATTCCTGTTGTTATTGAACGTATTCGGAAAATTTCTGAAACATGTATATCTCGTAGTTGAATTGTTATTGATTCGTGGTCTTTGATGCTAAAGGATGGAAATTTACCGGTAGTTTGGTAGGCTGAGCTTTTCTCAATTTCTTGGAATTGCTGGCTCGGAAGAACGAGCAAAATAACCTGGACCGGTATTTCTTGGTCCATTTGAAGAAATGTCCTTAGCTGGTTCTGGCAGTTAACGCAACAGCAAAATTGTTCGCCCTCCGTTATGTTGGTGGTAGTCATGTCACCATACGACCTGTGGATCGTACCTGTCTCGTGTTTTCGTGAATGTAGATTGATCTTTTATGGCTGATGCAGAAAGTCAACCTTCAGGAAAATCCGGTTCCAATTTTTTTGTCATTTTAACTGCTATTATTCCATTAATTCCTTTTAGTGCATGTTTGGTAAGTACTACTACACATGGTATATAATTTTTTGCATTTTTTTTCCGTTTTATGTGTATATGAATTTTAGCATTTTTGTTCGTTTTTTAATGTTGTCCAGTACTACCCTCCAACTTTCTTTACTATGCACCAAAAGTGCATGTTTTATAGTGGGACAAGCCCAAGATTTGCAATGCGAGAATATCCAGCACTTAATATTGGACTCTAGTGGATAATATGAATAAGAGTTTGAGTTCCAAAAAATGGAACGATTTTATTGCAGGATTACAGTTGATAATGGTAACTCAGAATGAATTGCAAAAGAATATTGTGTATTTCTTTACCAAATAAACATGTCTCCTACTCTAGTTATGATTGCAGACCATTTCTTATGGACTCAAGAACCTGAACAACCTCAGCCATGCTTGGCCTCCTCGAAGGAGTTTCACAAGTACAAATCAAACCCAACTTCATAACCTGAATCAACTCATTTTCTGGGAATCCTCGCAAACTTTGGTCAAAACAGTCCGAAGCAGAACCCTTTTCCATCAAATCCCTGACACATTCACGCAAAATCAGCACCTCATTCGCTGCTGGACTCTCCACTGGTATCCTCCCTGTAACCAACTCCAGAAGAATCACCCCAAAACTATAAACATCACATTTATCAACGAGTCTTGAACTTTGAGATAACTCGGGTGCAATGTACCCAACTGCATTGTGAATATTTCTTGAACCATAATTATCCTGCAGAGGAAGAAACTTTCCCAAGCCATAATCAGACAGTTTGGCATTGTAGTTTTCATCCAGGAGTATATTGCTGGACTTGACATTGAGATGAAGAACTGGAGGTCTGCAGTCATGGTGAAGGTAGGCTAAGGCTCTTGCTGTCCCTAATGCTATTTGAAACCTTCTCGGCCAATTCAACTCCAGATTACTCACACGAAAGCTCATCCCATGATAATTCATTTCATGTAAATTATCATGCAGATTTCCATTAGGAACAAATTCAGACAAAATTAACTGCATGCTAGACGACCAATAATAACCTTGAAAAGCAACAAGGTTCGGGTGCTGAAGGTTTCCCAAACGTCCAATTTCATGCTCGAATTCTTCTTGGTTCCGGATTCTTCCTAGAGTCTTGAGCTTCTTCACTGCAATTGAGATTCCTCCTTCGAAGGTAGTTTTGTACACTCTTCCTATAGAACCCCCACCAATTAAACATTCTTTATCAAGCAAGGCTTTAGTGCCAGCCTCCCAATCTTCATACCTTGAAGGCAATTTTTTGCTGAAGAGGACTAATTTTCCAATAATAATATTTGATTCCGTTGAAGCTAATGGAGTAGAATCTACAACCAGAGTCTTGTCTTCTCGTCCCCTCCCGCGAGCCTTCATGTTGATAATGGTTATCATAAAAACACCGGTAACAATTAATGTAGCAGCGACTATTGCGACTATTGCAGAAGCACTCAACTTGGGTTTATGCGTCCCAGGACTAGCAGAGCATGGGTCATCTAATGGTGTACCACAGAGACCTTGGTTGTGAAAAAAAGCTGAGAAGCCGAACTGTTGAATGCTTGGAATTGAAGGGATAGCACCGGAAAGATTGTTGTAAGACACGTTGAAATGAATTAGGTTTTTCAAATTCTCGAGTGTAAAAGGAATTGAATCGGATAGAAAATTTTCTGATAAATCCAAAGAATGTATGTTAGACAAATTTCCGATGGTCAATGGTATGCTTCCATTAAGCCGGTTATGATGTAGGTCAAGAGTTGCTAGGTACGTCATGTTGTCAAGATTTTGTGGAATGCCTCCCTCCAAAGAATTCCCCGAAACATGCCTGCATGTAAATTTTTCGAAGTTTTGTCAGTTGAATCCTAATAAATGTTAATGTAAGCACATAACAGCCGGTAATGCTTATTCAACTCACAGCTCAAGAAGAAACCGGCAATTGCTTATCTTGTCTGGGATTTCACCTGCGAGTTTGAGATTACGCAGATCGAGAACTTCAAGCCATTCAATACTCCCAAACTGTGCTGGGATTATCCCGTCTATTGAGTTATTTGCTAAGCGAATGACCAATAGCCTCTTCAAATCAGCAATTCCAGCTGGTATACTCCCATTAAGCTGGTTAAAACCCAAATCTAAATACTTTAGGCCACTGCATTTTGTGATGCTTGAAGGAATTTCTCCATACAAATCATTCCCCGAAACATCAAAAAATTCCAATCTCCCACTACAAGTTTCAATCTCCGGAATTTCCCCCTGAAACCCATTCCATGAAACATTAAAATAGGTAAGATTTATCGATCCAAGAATCCCAAACGGGGTGCCCCCGGTAAACATATTGCTACCAAGATCCAAAAGATCCAAACTTCCACACTCGGAAACATTATCTTGAACATTTCCTGATAGCACATTACTTCTCACTGATAAGTAAACTACCCCTGGAATGCCACAAATTTCTGCAGGCAATCCTCCACTAAGACTGTTAAAAGACAAATCTATTCCCTCAAGATTCCTACAATTACCAATCGACGCGGGGATGGCACCCGAAAGATTGTTATGTGCTAAAGATACAAACCTTGTCTTGTAACAATTCTTGAACAAAGCTGAAGGAATCTCCCGATTATATCCATTTCTTGATAAATCAAGAAACCTTATATTTGGCAAATCCCCAATAAAATCTGGGATTACCCCAGATAAAGCATTGGAGCTTAAATTAATCTTCCACAATGTACCAGTCTCTCCATACTCCAAAGGAATATTTCCTTGAAATTTATTCCCAAACAAATTAATAATTCTCAAAGATTGTAATCCAGATAAAGCAGGAGACAAAACCCCACCAAGACTGGTATTCCATAACACAATTTTTACCACATTTCCATCTGAGTTACAAAACACACCTCTATAATCTCTGCAGGGGCTATTATTTTGATCCCAAGAACTCAAACTCAAAAAAGGGTCACTTGAAATGTTACCCTTGAATTGAAGCAAGATTTCCTTTTCAGTGATTGGTGAGACTAATATTATCACAAACTCAAGAAAACAAAAGGCATAGAAGAACACAAGATAATGAAAACTTGTACCTAATCTTTTCATGTTCTTTCCAACAAAACTCCAGCATTATACTCGCTGGATCCAGTCTGCAACCCCTTGATCTCTCCTTCTAAATGTGCACTGATGCAGGGAAGGGCCAATGGAAACGTGAAAGCACGGAGATTCACGAACAATCTTTTCATTTAATTACTATGTATATTTGTTAAGAGTAAATTTTTAATGCTCAATCTTGGAGAAAATAGGAAGATATTAAAGCACATTATTGTGGGATGGGTAAAAAGACACTGAATTTATGCTATTTCTTGGGATATTTCTTTAGTTAACATTGAAGTGAGATTTAGGTGTAGAGAATTAATGTACGTGGGCTAGTTGAGTTGATGAGTTCAAGAATTAGGTGTAGAGATACATGTACAAGAAAAATTGCCTGGCTAGGCTGGAAAGAGAAGCAGGTGGTACAAATTCAATTAATAGCTTCACTTTTTTTTTTTTTTAATAACCGTGGATGTTCGGTCCAACTTGCACGCACCTCGACTAATTCCACGAAACCCTGAAGTTTACGGTCGGGTACTCACCTCAATGACCCTAAAGTTTACCGTGTGTATCAGACAGTTGATCCATCCACGTGGTTGAATTGTGTGCATTTCTGAATCACACACACACACACACTAGTAAATGGTACGTTTGATGGATATTATTGAGAAAATAATGTATTTTAAATAGTGATATGATTTGAAATATGTGGTTAAAAAGTAATGAAAAATTATTGATGTGATGAAAAATATTATTTTATTGACGAATGTGTGGTTGAAAAAGAGTTTTGAAAAAAATGTATTTTGAAAGAATATGTGTCAAACAGGAACTAAATGGGAAATAAATATTAATAATTCAGTAATTAACTGAACAAGAGAAGAACCCATTGGTGAAATCTTCATCATCAATATGCCTTTTGTAGGTAGGCATTGAAAGCTTCCTATTAACTTGACATACTGAGTAGTAATGTTGTTAAAAGTTACAGCTTAGCATTCTGTGGTTGGCGTGACGATATTTAGCAATAATATTATTTAACACCATTAGGATTAACATCAGCCTATATGACAACATTAATGACATTAAATTTTAGGTTCAATTACCTTTAATTGAATTTATCACATAATGCCACATAAATTGATGCTAGATAATATTAATCAATATTTAAGGTAGAAAATGATACCACTTCCTTTCGTTTCATAAAGACTGACTCGTTTTCATTTTCACACAAATTGAAAAAATAAATTAATATAGTTGGAAATAGGGATGTAAACGAGCTGGGACGAGCTTACTTGTGAGTCGAAGCCTAGGGCCAGACAAAACATCGGCTCGGGCTTTTTTGGCCAGAATCGAGCTGGGTTGAGTCAAGCCAGCCGGCTCAATTTTTTTACGAGAATTGATATATAACCTATTCGAAGATGCAACTAGTATGCAAGTGATGCTTTTTAAAATTCTAAATTGTAGCACACAAGCCATTTTGGCCAATCGCATGGCCGCCCCATGTGGCTGGGCCAGCTCAGGCTCAAGCTGTCGCTCGAAAATTGGGCTCAGCCCAAGTTGCGAGCCAAGCGGCTCGGAGCTTCTCTCTAGCCAAGTCACTCGAGCGACGAATCGATTTGACATCCCTAGTTGGAAATATATATTTTTCTATATTTTAATAATAATATATTATAAAATTAAATTACACACCACGGTCTAATCCATCCAGAGCCAGACTTAATCCTAATTTCATTTCTCTCTCTGCCATCTCTCTATTAATATCTCTATCTGCTTTCTCTAGAAGCAAAAACCAATTTCTAAGATTTCACTTTCCCAATTTTCCGATTAGGGCTCAAATCGCCGCTGCAACGATTTTGTGGTGGTTTGCGCCTGTTTGTGTGGAAAGATTTTGGTAATTTGTGGTAGTTTTTGCGTTGGTTTTGTGGTGGTTTTTAGGTGATTTGTGATGGTTTATAAGTCATTTTCGTCACATGCTCATAGAGTGTATGTCAAATGATGTGTTGATATCTGTTGGTGGTATTAGTAGTGGTGATAGGTCACACGTACCAGGTAGGGATGTCAATCGAGCCGAGTGGCTCATACTATTCATGCCCACGAGCCGCTCGGACTCGTCAAAAAATGAGTCCGAGCACGAGTCGAGCGGGCTGGCTCGCTAGACGAGCCGAACCGGCTCGGCTCGTACTATTCACGAGTTACTCGGCGAGCGGCTCGCCGAGCAGTTCGTGGGGCGAGCCCACGAGCCAGGCTCGTATATAAAAAAAATAAAAAATAAAAAAAAA